GAGCCGATAGTTAGTTTTACTAATCGGCTCAGACAAGTACAATATTGTTCTTGTATTTTCCTGACAAGGGTTCCAAGTAAGTGTGTCCCGTTAAGAAAAACGATGACACGAAAAAGGATACTCACTAGTGTAGAAAAGGCCTTTAACGTCACCCTTTAGATGTCCGACCCTCGAATATCCAACGTAAAAAATGACTGGTGGCATTTTTCATAAATAAAACAACCATATAGACTTCTGTTCTTGAGGGAACAAACGCCTAAAGCCATATAGACGTCTGATGTGGGGGGAACAAACTTCTATATACACATCTTTGAAATCTAAAAAGTCACTTTTTGACTCCATTTAGACATCAGATCCCACCAATCTGACTTCTACAGCCATATAGACGTCCGATGTGGGGGAAACCGACTTCTATATACTCATTTTTGAAATCTAAAGTCACTTTTTAACTCCATTTAGACGTCAGATCTCGCCAATCCGACTTCTACAGCCATATAGACATCCGATGTGGGGGGAACCAACTTCTATATACTCATTTTTTAAATTTAAAAAGTCACTTTTTGACTCCATTTAGACGTCAGATCCCGCCAATTCGACTTCTACAGTCATATAAACGTCCGATGTGAGGGGAACCGACTTCTATATACTCATTTTTGAAATCTAAAAAGTCACTTTTTTACTCCATTTAGACGTCAAATCTCGCAAATCCGACTTCTAAAGCCATATAGACGTCTGATGTGGGGGGAACCGACTTATATATACTCATATTTGAAATCTAAAAAGTCACTTTTTAACTCTATTTAGACGTCAGATCCCGTCAATCCGACTTCTAAAGCCATATAAACGTCTGATGTGGGGGGAACCAACTTCTATATGGCTGCATTAAAACACCGCGAACGCGAGGCAGCAGTTACACACACTTAATGTTCATCATCTTCCTCGCATTTTCTCTTTACGGGTTATGTTGTTCAGGTTCGTTTTCTCACATTTGCACCGTTTTAAATTAATTTTACTCCGATTACATCACTCTTTGATGCATTATCTTTAATTTGAACCGATTAAAATGCATTTTCGTTGGGTTTTGGTGCAGTTTTGCTCGTGTCCTTGGGCGGCGTTCTTGGGCGGCGATTTCTTGCGTTTCGCACTCCTCCAATTCTCTACACTATGTTTTTAAAACCATCCAATACAAAAAAAAACGTGCAATACATTCTCTTCAACTAAAATATAAAGTTGTAAACTCGAATCACCATGAGCCAAGAGCAACCCGAGAGGCCTCAAGCGAAAAAAGATCCAATCAAATACGGCGACGTTTTAGACGTCTGATCTATAGAGTCAGACGTCTATATAGACGTCTGACCTGTATGGATCAGACGTCTCATTAACGTCACCCTTATAGATGTCAGACAAAGATCAAATATTAAAAACCCAAAATAACAGACGTCTAAAGCCCTTTCTGTACTAGTGACTCGTGATTAGGAATGTTTTTGTTGGAGGAGGAGTGTGTCAATGTGGAAGGTATTCATCCTTGAAGTGGAGATTGTTGGGAAAAGTTTAAGTCTAAGTCCCATGTTAGGTAGAAATAAGAAAGTAAAACACTATGTAGGATGAAAACCCATAAACCTATTAAGGTTTTTGGTTGAGAGTGATGTCAATCCCTTTTGTGCTTGTGCTCAGGTCTCATTGTTCTTGTATCTCCCTAGTGAACCTCATCCCTCCATAGATCCAACAGTGGTATTAGAGCTCTTGGTTAAGGGTTATATTTAGTTGCTTGAATGATGGAGACAAATGCAAAAATGATTACTTTGAATGGTTAAAATTATTACTTATGGAAGGACAAGATGAAGAACTTGTTGTTTGTGAAGAAATTGCATATTTTAGTATTTTCTACACAAAAGTTGGATTTTATGTCTTATGAAGAGTGTGACTCTAAGCACCATCAGGTGATAATATCAAATTTTACCATTATTTTAGTCGTAATTTATTAACAAAATCAACTCTTCTTTAATTTTTTTGCCTTCTTGATTCTTCATTTTATCTTATTTTTCTAAGTAGTTACATTTTAAGTTACACTAATTCAATTATATCACTAATCTCACTTTTTTTTTGTATTTAATTGTTACGTATTACGGGGCGAGATGATCTAGATGACATAAATAATATAAACAATATAAACAATATTATCGAGACGGTATGAGTTGATATAGTTTTAGATATATAAAACGAATTGTTGTATTGTTAAAGAAGAATCAAATACAAATTTCTGAGAGAAGCTTATAAGTTGAGTTGTGTTGGATATCGTAAATATCCTTATTTTAAATTCAATTAAAAACATTATTCTAATTTTTTTTTCTTTTTCTTGTTTTTGATGTTTTGATCCAATTTTTATTTTAATACAAGTAAAAATGTCCTACTTATAAATGAAATATTTAGGAAATAACATCTTACTCAATGGCTACTTAATTAGAAGCAGTCAACACCAATTTGGCATATTGTAATTTAATTCAATGGCTGACCTTTCAAATAAGCTTTTCTTCTTGTTAGAAACCTTCCAATTTAAATAATCTCATCCACCTTCTAACAGAAGCACATTGAATTGTTCTTTCTCATGACTGTTACTTTCAAACAATTAGATGTAATGAAAATGAAAACGAAAGAAAGAAACTCTGAGATAAGAAATTCAATTAGGTCCTCCAAATTTAAGGCATTTGAAAGTTTTAACTTTGTGCTTATCATATTGATGTTCTCATCACAATATTTTCTCAATTTTATGTTTTAAAAACTCCATTAAGATTTTGTCTCGAAAAAAACAAATTGTATTCATAACTTAAAATCGAAAGAGTGATAAATTATTTTAACTTCAATTTAATGTGAGTACTTTAACTGTAAAGCAAGTTATTGGGCGTGGTATATTAAAAGGTTTTTTATGAGTAATTAAATGATATACAAACTTGCACCTTTTGGTATTATAATACACTTTGGTTTTAATGAGAAATTATCATTTTATTTTAATGTAATAATATCTAATTTTTTTATATTCGTTTATTATGAAGTAATTTAAAATTTTATTTTCCCTATTTTTATGGTATTTTTCATTTCAATTTAAAAGCAATTTTTCTCTATATATATTTTGGTATTATCTCAAATGTTTTATTGGTTTGATATTTACCAAAATTATTCAAGTCTTTAAGGTGCTTTTCTTTTATTACTATTTCAACTATAAGTTAAACATTTTTTCTTTTATGTGATATTGTTTCTACATTATGTTGTATTCTAAGAAGTTTAAACTTTAATTTCATTGAATTAAACCATTTTCTAAACTATACATATGATTATTTATATATTGTTTTAATAGTTTTATTAAATTTTGTATCAAAAGAATGTTTGATCATCATAGTAAAGTATTTTTCCTTCTTAAATATTTACAAACATCTTTATTAAGAGTAAACCCTAATGGATAGAGAAAAATATAATTCCATTGCATCTTTGTATAAGTATTCCCTCTTAAATGTCTCGTAAGTGATTTCTGTGACTGAAAACTAAATAGGAAGAAAAGAAGAAAAAAGTTAGGAAAATTTCTTCCATGTGCATTTTTGTGTAAGCATTCTCAATTAATGTGTGTAAAGTGACTACTAGGACCAAGTCTCTACAAGATCAAATTCTTCCCTATAAATATACCCTTAAGAAGAACTTGGATATATATGAAAGCTAGGGTTTCATATTTCATCTGAATTTCCACTTCAAAAAAAAATGAAATCTCTCAAATTATGCTATCTTCTCCACATACTTACGTGCTTGCTTTTTTTGAATCAAACATATTCTCAAGATGGAAGGAAGGTAAATAAATTTTCATCTCAAGTTTAATTGCAAAGCACTAATTTTTATGAGGTGTAGTTTTACTTGAAATAACAATAATAATGTATAGTTTATTTCTATAGTATTTGAAAGAGTTTTTAGTAAAAATATATTATTTTTAAGAAACGGTATTTTCCGGAAAAAAAAAGCATTTGAAAGACTTTGCTTAATATTTTCACTGAAACTTTCAATTCTTTCTATCTGGTTTTAGAACTTAAATAACCATCTTTAGAAAAAGGAATTCTAATTTTTGTTTAAATTCTATCAATTTTGAGAACCCCACTCGTATGGCTGCATGAAGTTATTGTGTTTTGGAAAAGTTGGGGAAATTATTCAAAATGGGGAAAAAATTAATCTTGAAATTTTGAGTGTAGTTTGTCTATAATGAGTGTATAAATAATAAAAATAATAATAGTAAATAAAATATAACTTTTAAAATAACTATTAAGTTAAAAGTAATACTTTTTACTTGTCAGAAATTGAATAATAACATAAAACTCTTTATTTATACATTAATTTTGCTATAAACTTCAAGGTCTGAAATGTTTATTTTTGAATAATTAACTTAACGTCATACCTACCTCCTACCTACCCCGACAATAATTGTCGAAAATTGATTGGTTTATATTAAATCGTTTCTATATATATATATATATAGAGAGAGAGAGAGAGAGAGAGAGAGAGAGAGAGAGAGAGAGATTGAAAATCTGGGTTTAACTCAATTTTGAATATGTTGATATATGACAGAAATTTAATACTTTAAGTTATAAAAATATATTTTGTTTCTACTTTAAAGAGAATATCTACCAACAATAAAATAAAATTCTTATGAAGATTTATATTAAAATGAAATTTATAACAAAATTAAAAATCTCTTTATTTCGGCAACATATTTGTGATTCAATTTTGAAGAAATTCAAATAATAAAATTATGAAATTTATTTAAGTTCCTAAATTAAATATTTTTCCCCTAAATATATGTTTTTATTATCTCTTCTTAAGTTTTTACTTGATAAATTTAAAAGCTTCATTAAAATTCTAAACTTTTTTAAGAACTTGTTTAGGTTTCTTTAATTAGAAGAATTAATTTAATATGTAAATAAATTTTTAGATACTAAATAATCTCTTTTCTGCATTTTATTTCTAAGGCCTACATTGTGTATATGGGCGATCATTCCAACGGCGAATCCAAGGAATACGTTCACATCAGTATGCTTCAAAATATCCTCGGCAGGTTATTAATTCAATTTTCTTTTAAGTTTCTTCCATTGTTTTAACTGATTGTGATAGAATTTGTTCAATTTTTTATTTGTTTTTTATCATTATTTATTAAAAACTCATTGGAATTAAATATAGAATGAGATGAGGTTTACTTTGGTTTAGTTTCAATTTAGTATAAAATATAAATCAAATCAAATACATGTTTTATAATTTGGTTTGTACGGGTTTTTAATTTTTCCTGTACAATTCTTAAATACTTTATAATTAGATATGTCAAATAAAAATAGTTATGGTAAACATATTTAATATAATAGCTAATTATTTTTAACTTGTTTCGTAGTTTAATAAATTATATGATTCTATAATTGAAAATTGAAATATATAAATTATCATATTTTGATAAATATAATACTATATTCATAACATAAGCAAAGATAGTATATTTATGTTTGTTTCCTAGCTAATTAATTTAAAATATATAATATTATATTGTAATACAATCAATACTTTTTTGTTATTGATTTTCAATTTGAAAATCAAATCAAATTTATTGGTCATGGAAAAATTAAATTAAAAGTAAAACTTTATCAATTACGTACTAATTATATGTTTAGATTGATTAACTCGTGAATTTTTTATAACTTAAAATCAATTACTTATCTTAGTGATCGATTTTAATTGATCAATTTTAATGAGTATGATTTAAAGTGACCAATAAATCTTTAAGTTTGTCTATTTTTTGTATAAAAGATTTATTAATAATAGTATGAATTAAAATTAAGGAAAAATATACCAATGAGAGAATATATCAATGAAGGAGAGACGACATCGTAATGTTATTGATAACCATACAAGTATAGAATAAAGTCAATTACTCATCTTGATGATTTATTTCAATGAGTATGACCTAAAGTGACCTATAAAATTTAAACCTTAAATCTAAACCTACAAATCTAAGGTTTATTGATTTCTTGTATTAAAAATTTTATTGATAATAGTATAAGTATAGATTATATTTAAGGAGGAGTATATCAATATAAAAGAAATATGAAGACATTGTAAAGAGTTCAAGTGAGTTTGAGTTACATATTATAACATAAAAGAAAGAAGACATACAAAGTCATTGTCTTACAAATTTTAATGGAAGGTAATGTCCTAATTAATATCTTCTATAAGTTTGTTTGTCATTCATTGACACCAAATCTCCCTAGGGAAACCTATCCATATATACCTCCTAACAATTTTATAGTTTAAGGTGATAAAAAATTAGGAAGGTTTAAAGTTTCAAAATTTATACGATAATCTCTTCTAACATAATGTTATACATGCATATCAATTTTTAATGAATCACTAATATGAAACATTTTTTATAGTGGTGGTTTAATTAACAATTGGGTTTCAATATTTAAATTTTTAATTCATTTTGGTGGATATATGTTTTTTTACTCAATTGAATCTCTATTTTTTTTTTTAAAATACTTCATTGAGTTTCTATTTTTGTAAAAAATATTTAATATAACCACTTTTGTTAGATTGACTTTAATGTTATTTGAAAGTATCATGTGTCAAAATCTACATCTATTATATGTTAAAACTTGGGTTTTTTTCTACTTAAAAGTGTCATGTGTCAAAACAAGAGAAGTTACAATATAGAAGATGGTCCAAATTTTATCTAAATATTGACACACCTGTATTAACCATAATTTAACGAAATGAGCTACATTGAGAAAATTATCTTGATTTTGATACATGACAACTCCAAACAATACTAATCCCAATTTAATGAAAGTGGCACGTTGAATCTTTTTACAAAAATATGGACTCAAGTCAGTAAAAAATAAATATAAAAATAAAAAGAAAATTAAAAATTTAAATATAAGAATCAAAACAAATCAAAGATATAAATATAAAAACCAAATTATTAATTAAGTTTATAATGATTTTATTTTATGAAAATCTTGATGAATTAAAAAAGTGTTTCACTAAAATATTTACCGATTCAAATGGCATCCATGCAGCAAATTTGCAGCAGATGCTTTGCTACACAGCTACAAGAAGAGTTTTAATGGTTTTGTTGCAAAGCTAACAGAAGAGGAAGCAGTGAAAATGGGAGGTATTGATTACATTGTTGGAGATCCCACTTTCTAATATACATTACATGTATAATCTCTATATATCACTATCAAATTGCCTTTCTATGTGTCTATGTAATGTATCATTGTAAGTGTATTCATTATGATGTATGATTCTGATATTTTCATAGGATTGGATGGTGTTGTTTCTGTTCTCCAAAACAAAAAGAATGAGCTGCATACAACAAGGTCTTGGGATTTCGTAGGTTTATCTCAGTCTGCGAAGAGAACAAGCAAAGAGAGTGACATAATTGTCGGAGTAATAGATACTGGAATTTGGCCAGAATCTGATAGTTTTAATGACCAAGGATTTCGTCCACCTCCACGAAAATGGAAGGGCACTTGCCATAACTTCACTTGCAATAAGTACATAACATTTATTACACTCATACATTTATAGCATTCTGTTAACACCAAACCTTAAAACTGATTTTAAGCAACTGAAAGTAAACATTAAAAGTTTCTTATTAAGCAAAATAGGAAAGTATAATGCATGTTTTCTTTTCTAATAAATCACTGTTCAGTTGCTTAATGCCAACTCCTTGACACATTTTAGCTAGAAAGATCATTGACACAAACTAGTTAAATTACAATTTATGCATGTTTTCATAACCCTTTTGCAGTAAAATAATTGGCGCAAAATATTTTCACATGGAGGGTTCGTATGAAAAAGATGAGTTGATATCTCCAAGGGATTCAGATGGGCATGGCACTCATTGTGCATCCACTGCTGCAGGAAATTCAGTTGAGTTCGCAAGTTTCTTTGGCCTTGCATCAGGAACAGCAAGAGGAGGAGTTCCATCAGCACGCATTGCTGTGTACAAGCCTTGTTGGTCATCTGGTTGTGACGATGCAGACATCCTTCAAGCATTTGATGAAGCCATTGAAGATGGTGTTGACATCATTTCCATTTCATTAGGACCAAGAATCGTAGAACACAACGACTATTTCAATGATATATATGCGATAGGGAGTTTCCATGCTATGAAGAAAGGCATATTAACATCCACTTCAGCTGGTAACACAGGTCCAGAGTTTTATACAATATCTAAAAATGCACCGTGGACACTTTCTGTAGCAGCTAGCACTATAGACAGAAAGTTTTTTACCAGTGTTCAGTTGGGTGATGGCACAGTTTATCAGGTAATTCAGAGTATAAATGTTTTGGTCTTACATCATATTTATATTACCATAACTCACTTTGGTTATATTCTTTTTTGTTTCAATTTACTCTTCATTAAGAAAAAAGTGATAATTAATGTTAACCTTGCTAGTGAAGCCTTATATTGTGATCAATGGCAAGTCTTCCTTTGTTTTAACTAATTAACCTCATAAATCATACTAAATATTCAGGGAGTTTCAATCAATTCATTTGATATGAAAAACGAGAGCTTTCCATTAATTTATGCTGGAAATGCACCAAACATCAATGGTGGATACAATAGTTCCATATCAAGGTACCAAAATCTAATCTTTCTCTCTGGTAACAATTTTACAATTACATTTAGTGAGTCTTATTTCTTTATCCTTACACCATGACTACTTAGGTTTTGCATCCAACATTCCTTAGACGAGAATTTGGTGAAGGGGAAAATTGTTTTGTGTGATGGTCTTCAAGAATCTTCATCTCTGGGATTGGTGTCTGGAGCAGCTGGTGTTTTACTGAGAAGTGCAGTGCCAGAAGATGTGACTTCTATCTATGCATTGCCAACAGTTCAACTTGGCCTTAGAAACGGGGCACTCGTACATTCTTACATAAATCTAACAAGGTATATTTTTACTACACACATCCCATCACTTAAGAATCACAGGAGCAATTTTCATTCGTGTATACATATGACTAATTTATATTATATTAACTGCATACTATACAGTAATCCCACTGCTACTATATTTAAGAGTAATGAAGGTAAAGACTCAGTAGCCCCTTACATAGCTTCATTCTCATCTAGAGGACCAAATGCAATCACTCCAAACATTCTAAAGGTAATATACATATCAATTTGTATTTTCAAAGAAACAGTTTGCTTATTCTAACCATTTCTTGATTTTGCAGCCTGATTTAGCTGCTCCAGGGGTTGAGATTTTAGCTGCATGGTCTCCAATTTCTCCTGTTTCTGATGTAAGAGGAGATAACAGAGTTGCAAACTATAGTGTAGTGTCTGGAACTTCAATGGCATGCCCTCATGCTACTGCAGCAGCAGCTTATGTCAAATCATTTCATCCTTATTGGTCACCTGCAGCAATCAAATCAGCACTTATGACCACTGGTAATCATTGTTCTCAACCTCTAAATCACATAAACATTGCTAAAGATTTTTGTGTGTTTTGAATTAAAAAACAAAGTAAACATGTAAACAAATAGAGTACTGCATGAGTGTTGTTTTTCTTACTTATTTGCAGCTACCCCAATGAGTGCATTACTCAATCCTGAAGCTGAATTTGCTTATGGTGCTGGCCAAATCAACCCTATGAAGGCACTGAATCCTGGATTAGTTTATGATGCAAATGAAACTGATTACGTTAACTTTCTATGCGGTCAGGGATATAATACCAAAAGACTACGAACTATTACAAAAGATGATAGTAGTTGTACACAACAACCGAATAATGGAATGGTTTGGGATCTTAATCTCCCATCTTTTGCTCTTTCCATCAACACTTCAACACCTTTCAGTAGAACTTTTCATAGAACAGTTACCAATGTTGGAGCCAACACATCAACGTATAAAGCTAGACTAAGTGTAGTTGCAGCTTTATTGAAGGTGAAAGTGGAGCCAGATGTTATTTCCTTCTCATATGTGGGTCAAAAGAAATCCTTCACTCTTGTGATTGAAGGGACACTTAATGTGGAGACAGTTTCGTCTTCTTTGATTTGGGATGATGGAACTTTTCAAGTTAGAAGTCCTATTGTTGTTTTCCATCCATAAATGTAATTTCAGGTTGTTTATGTTTTATATAATAATCTTGTTATTAGTGCAATGTATTTACTATTTAATCATCTTCAACATTCATTGTGTTGAATTGAAAAAATAAAGAATTGTGTATGTACCTATTCCAATTGCTTCTTTACTGTTATTATTATGTGTTTTTGGAACTACAAATAAAAATAATGCATATTCTCCATAAACTGATACAACAAATAAAATATAAAACTCTTCTATAAAATATAAGGAAACAAAACATTGACAACTTTTTTTACAACATTATACATCCAAACAAATATATCGATATACAGTCTAAGTAATTTTACACCAAATATTATATTATATTGACAATAGTAACAAAAATAAAAATGTAATACTAACTTAATAAATGTTAGTTAAGTCAAAATAATGGATTTGCTATTTCCATATCAACCTGGTAACAACCATTAACCAAACTAAGAACAAATTAAAAAAATTCATTTTCGATATTTTTTATTTACATTTAACATATTAAAATTAAAAAAAAAAAGTGTTTTATATATTTAGGCAATCTCCTTAGAGCAATCTTGTTATAATGTTTTTTCTAAAACTTGCAATCATTTACTTTTTCAAAAATTCATTTTCTTTCTCTTTCAGTTATATAAAGTGATTCGATATATTCTTGAAAAAATAGAATGTCAATATGACAAGTCACTATAATTAACTTCGATTAATTCACTAATAATTAAAAAATAATTACGTATATACAGAATTTGAAAAGTAATCATATATTTTAAAAAAATATATGAATCTTTTTTATGCTTTTTTTTTCTTCTATTTAAACTAACTATATATTTTTCAAAAATGAATCACATTCGTTTTATCGTTTTTTCCTCGTAGCAGTATGTATAAAAATGTTTATAAATAATAAAAATGAATTAAGTGTCAATTTCTAATTAATATATAAGCTTTATAATTTAATCTTTAGGAAATCATATAATTTTGAAAAATATTTACTATTTAATTATGTAAAGTTGACTTTGATTTTGACTTTAATTAACTCATTTTATATGAACAATGTTGTTGCCACATCTGCAGTGTATCTAAACAGGCGATAGAAATTTTTTTCTTTATCATAATTGAATATAGTGAAAAATTATTTATGGGATTAATCTCTCTCGTTAAATAAATATTTTATTTATAATAGAAGAAACACGGTTAAGTTCAAAATATAAATAAAAAATATTAACAAATTAACTAAAAATAAAATATAAAGATAATATATCTGATCCTTACAATTGATCATAATCTAAGTCTCTGCATCATCCACATCCTAAACTGGATCAACTACTATATGATCTACTCATACAATGAAGGTGATCATTGCAAGCAAATAGTATAACACAAACAAAGCGACATAGAAGAGAAGGGTAAGCTATGTGCAAAAAGAAACTTAAATAACAAACATATAGTTATCATCATTCATTTATTTAATAAAATAAACATATCACATATAAAGACTCATACAAAACTCAATTATCCGAATACATGTATTGGTATTAGACTCTTTAACTTTGACTTTGGTTTAACTTAATGAGTATATTTTCGTCCAATGATGGTAGGTCTTTAACTTTGGCTTCGTCCAGCAACCACAAAGTTAGTAGCTCTTTCATTTTGGCTTCGCCTACATAATTCTGCCAAACATAATTCTGTAGATTTATGTAATTTCAACCCTACAAATCAGTCCAATATTAAACATAAATGCTAAAGTATACCAAATTTGAATTACACAAGATTCACTAATTCAAACAATATCATATACAATACTAATCAGACTAACATATTACAATAAATTGGTTATTTATGAAATTTAATTTTAAAAAAATTAAAAATGTTAAAGGGTTTTTTTATCATATTTTTTAATTTTTTTAATTTAAATTTTAATAAATAATTCAGTTATTTTAATATTTTAATATAATTTTTAACATTTATTAAACTTTTTAAATTATTTTTATTATAAAATTTAAAAAATACTTTGTTTATTTCAATATCATTATAATATTTATTATAATATTATTAATTTATATTAAAATAAATTATTTTTTTAAAATTTTATAATAAGAGTAATTTACAAAAAAAAATTAAATTTAAAAATATTATATTAAAATATTAAAATATTAAAATAAATAAATTATTTATTAATATTTAAATTAAAAAATAAAATATAAAAAAATATGTTTAACGATTTTTAAAAATGTCAGAACCAGTAAAATACACGCACGTATCGTTTTAGTGGAGTTCACGTGTCAAGAGGGGGGCTCGACACTCAGATGACGGACGCCAGGTATCAAGCGAAGAAGATCCGAAAATCAGATAGTGTAATACAGGTGTCGGCAGATGATTGGACGCTCGTTTTGACGGGGGAAGCAAAACTTGGATTTTCAGAAAATCTACTCCACTCTCTACTTGCACCCTCTTTTCAGATTTCTGAAAAATCTCATTCTCTCCTCCTTCTCTCTGCATCTTCTTCATCTTCTCTCTAAGGACGCACTCCCTTTCCCTTCTCCGATCTCCATTCAGCCACCGTAGAAGCACTTCCAGCGTCAAGAGCTTCGAGACAAACCGTTCAGTTTGTGAAGCTGAACTGGTAAGTCTTTCTTTTCACCTAGTCGTTCGTTTCCTAAACATGCAAACCCAGTTCTGGGTTCCTGTGTTGATCACCATTCTCAAAATGAGTGGTTCTGATAGTGTTGGGTTGTCACTTGGTGTAGTTGGAATTGTCGAGCGTTGACGGTAGGGAAACCGGTAGTGGTGAAAGTGTATTCTGCCTCTGGGAACGTTCGTTCACGCTTAGAGGTAAGGGAAGCTTATTTAATTTAAATTGTATGTTTACGGTGTTGCATGAACGTTTGTTCGAGTTGCTAAATTAAAGTGAAGTATGATTATTGTGATATTTGACTATATGATATATGATGGTTGCTATGTTCTGATGTATGAAATATATGAAACTTATATGATATGGATCTTATGAAGTATGAAAGTTGATTATGATATGAATGTATAAAGTTATGAAACTATATGTTAAGAAATGAGTTTGAAAACAAATGATTTTGGTATGAAATTTCTCATATGAAAGTGTACGTTCGTTACTGAACGGTCATTGACCGTTCAGTTTTTCTGGTGAATATAGTTGAAATGAGATTCTTTCATTTGGGGAGAATCCTAGTTGAGGATGAGCGTCCTCGTGTGGTAATACTATGCTTGAGCGTTCGACCAAGCACAATTGTATTTGGGTATCCTGTGCTAAACTTAAAATTTTATATCTATGTAATTGTATATTTTCGTTGTTCGTAAACACTACTTCAATAGTATCTTATTATATTTATCAAGCCTTTTATTATAAGTTTATTAGTGTTCGGTCTTACACCAAGCGCTCGTACTAAGTAGTGCTCGGTCTTACACCAAGCGCTCGTACTGAGTAGTGCTCGGTCTTACACCAAGCGCTCGTACTGAGTAGTGATCGGTCTTACACCAAGCGCTCGTACTCGTTTCTTGTATAATTTATCTTGATGAAAAATATCGTTCGTCTAACATTAATAGAATTTTCTTCTCTATCGTGATCGGTCATTGGCTGGTATTCAGACTTCTTGATGTAAATTCAAATAAGCTAAATATTCATAAGAGTTCGTTTTATTCAGGTGAATTCTTCTAAGTATTTTTCTCTGAAAGTCTTGAAGTGTATACGTCCATTTGATTCCGGCCTAGAGCCTTAGTATTTGGTCTAGTTCTTTCTGTGTTCAGTTAAAACTCTCAAGGGTCAATTCATCTAATTGACTCACTTTGTAAGTGATGGTCGTTCTAGTCATTCTTGCGATATACAGTTGACTTCGATTTCTTTCGTATCCGATAGTAACCCTCTCGGTATTTTTCTATTCTGGAACTGAAGACCTCTCCGTCTCGTTCTAAGTGTTCGTCCTCATTCTGAGTGAGGATTGAACGTTCGGTATCTGGTGTCTTTATAAATTTTTGAACAAAGAAGAAATTGAAATGAATGAGAATGAAAGATGGAACTAAGATGATGAAAAATGAAAGATGAAGAAAATATGATATGAATGAAATGTTGTGAAATATGAACGAGCGTTCTGGGGAGGAACGACTCGTGAGTGAATATTGAAATTGGTAAAGTATGAATGTGGTAATGCTAAGCTGGCGGTTCATCCTGATGTTCCGTAAGTACTCGTCCTCACTGGAGGGTAGGTCATGTGTGGGAACGACAGGAGGTCCTAGTCCTTAGGGGTACTTTGGACAGATAGGATTAACCTCGGGTGACAGCTGATGAGAGTATTCCAGTTACTACATCACCCGGGTGCACGAACGTCGTAGCTACAAAGATTTCATACAGTCCGGAAAGTCAGTCTAGAAGTAGACATTGCTTAAAACGTATGTTGAAATGTATATTATGTGTTTGAATATGAGAAATGTATGTTTATACTTGAATTAAATTGCATAAGCTTACCCTGTTCTTCCTGTATTGTCTTGTTTTGTATGTCCGTCTTGTCGTTGCAATGATCATCCGCTGTGGATGTGAGCAGAAGTGGTTGAGCTGTTGGAAGATGAGCTGTAAGAAGAAAATTTGGTTGAAGTTGAAGTTAAGGCCGAACCGTAGGACGTTCGGTCAGTAGTCTAGTTTTGTAGTGAGGTGGTCGTTCGATCACCTCCCCTTTTTGATTGTTAGTTGACTGTTCGGTATACGTTTTGTAAACCGTTCGGTTAAACTTCCTTAAAGTGTTTTGGTAAATTTTGTAACTCTTTTATGTAAGACCGTTCGACCATGAGCGTTCGCTCTACTCTAGTGTAAGAGTGAACTGAAATATTATTAAATGTAATTATTCTATTATATAGTTTATTGCTGTATTTTTGGGATGTTACAAAAAAACTATTAAATAATCTTTCAACTATTTTTTGAAAACTGTTTAAATTTTAACTATTTTCGAAAATCGAACATATATTTTTACAAAAGTTAC